ATAATTGACAAAAGGGCCCTTATGGCGGATTTTAAAATTGATAGTTATAATGGAAAATATCAACCTGTGAGTGCTTTGTTAGACAATCATTGTTTCTAAAAGTTTCATGGTAACTTTTTGCATCCTGTGGAGTAATTTTATGATAACTGGGGCTCAGGAAGTTGGATTTCTTAGGCTAGAAAGACAAATTTCACTACCCGCCATAAGGTACCTTTTGTCAATTATGGTCACATATACATGTACATTTATAAAAGTTTACATTAATTACATGTACTATATACATGTAGCTGTAGCAATTATTATTATTATTTATTTTTAAGAGGTGTTGCAGTTGTATCAGATCCAGTTGTTGGCTCATGGTGTGATGATGGTCGGCCCCAGTGGAAGTGGAAAGTCTTCAGCCTGGAAGGTTCTCCTGAAGGTGCTTGAGAAGCTGAAGGTGTTAAAGGTGTGGCTCACGTCATAGATCCCAAGGCAATATCAAAGGAAGACCTTTACGGAGTCCTTGATCCTAACACTAGGGAGGGACTGATGGACTCTTCACTCACATACTCAGAAAGTAAGGAATACATTTATGTACCCTGTATACTGTATGGCACCTTTTTTGAGAGCTATAGATTTCAATGGCTTTAATTTTTTTAAGAATTTATGCCATCTGCCATCTTGTACTGTATTAATTTGATTTTTGCGGAAGTAATTTTCGCAAATTTTTTAAATATCGTGAAATCTTTGAAATTTAAAGCCCTAAAAAATCACATTACAAGATGTAATGTAAATACTGTATTCATGTACATGTACATGTGTTCTATATACATGTAATTTACGTAGATCATGTACACACATACATGTACATGTACATGTATTTACAAATTACAGTGCATGTACTACATTGTATGTATGAGATTTTATGCTTGCATATTTCTATGTGAAAATGTCTTTGTTATCTTCTTTGTTTTTTCTGCTTGACTCTCTTTCTCCTTTCTATTATTCTCCAGGTTGTTGGTCTTAATGTCTCATCAGCCACTACCCCTGAGCTTTTATTAAAGAGGTTTGATCATTACTGTGAGTACAAGAGGACTCCCAATGGAGTTGTGATGGCTCCTTCTCAACTCGGAAAGTGGCTGGTTCTCTTCTGTGACGAGATTAACCTTCCAGACCTTGACAAATATGGTAAGGAGTATTGATTTTACAATAAAATTAGTGAATATAAAGTTATAACAAGCTTATGTGAATTTATTCAATCCAAATACACTTTAGAGAGATATCATTCTCTTTTTAATGTTTCATTAAAAAATTCTTGTTAACTAATTAAAGGTACACAGTGAGTAATATCGTTCTTACGTCAGATTGTCGAGCATGGCAGATTTTACAGGACCTCCGATCACACGTGGGTGACAATAGAGAGGATACAGTTTGTAGGA